TGATTCAGCAAGCTCAAGCCATTCATCTTCGTCTAATGCAAATACTTTAATGCAAGATCGCAATATTGAAGATATGAGAAAAGAAGCACACGAATCTTTTAACTAAGACAAATTTCTCAAAGCATTAGAACTATATGAAGAAATCCTCAACAACAGTCAGCATACTCCTAATGATAAAGGTAATGCTTCATCTTGGGATCTTTCTTCGAAATGTCGTGGATCAGAAAAAATAAACGAGCTAATCAAAGCACTTTGCAAGAACTCTACCTTAACAACGTTGGATCTTTCTTCGAAGGTCTTGGATCAGAATATGGAAAAGCATTAGCTGATGCTCTTTGCAAGAACACTACCTTAACGATGTTGTATCTTAGCTCGAATATTCTTGGATCAGAAGGAGGAAAAGCATTAGCAGGTGCACTTTGCAAGAACGCTACTTTGACTACTTTGTATCTTGGCTGGAATGAAATTGGACCGGAAGGTGGAAAAGCGTTAGCAGATGCACTTTGCAAGAATACCACACTGACCGTTTTGGACCTTCAATATAATAATCTTGGATCAGAAGGAGGAAAAGAATTAAGGGATGCACTTTACAAGAATACTACGCTGAAAAAATTGGATATTCGTTATAATAATATTAATTTCACTATAAAATTTAATAATTCAAATATCGAAATATTGCAAGAGAATTAACTCAACATAAAATGTAAAGCGAAATAATTGTCTATTACTGAAATTATAAATATTTCCACCGTTAAAAATCATTATTAAAATTGCGATCTATTTATTGTCCATATCAGGACCGCTATAAGTTATCTGATCCGATAGAACTAGTCAATAAAACTCATTAGAAATAAAATTGGTCGATATAGAAAAAAAATTTGTTCTAATTTATTACATATTAAATAATTTAAACATAAATTATTTTACCCAAATTAACTTGCACTAGTTATATATATTTTTTTAGGCTTATCAAAGGTCCGTATGAATCTTTTGTTTTCAATTGATCATGAAGACAAATGAATTGATTACAAACACGAGGAATAAATATTCATAAAGTTTAAAGACTAACCTATATAAAATTTAGGCCCAATACGTAATTAAGGCTTCGCCTATAATTTTTCTGTGTCATATACAACGTTTCACAACATTTTACGTTATACACATATATCGGAAGTAAAATCCGATTTTTTACCGTTAATCTAAATTCGTAATCTTTTCAAATGATAATGTTACCGAACGAATGTTTTTTCGAAATATTCAATAATTTTCGAACTAATTATAAAAGTTTATTTTCATGTCTTCTTGTAAACCGTCAATGGTGTAGAATTATTATACCAATATTATGGAGTGAACCTACAAATTATTTTAATGACAAAAGACTTATAAGAATATATCTTTTAGCATTAAATGCTGAAGAGCAAGCTCTATTGATCCCCTTTAAAATTGTTCTTCCAAATTATCCAAGGCCATTATTCGAATATGAAAGTTATACTACATCTATTAGATTTTATTTGAATAACGGAATCCAAAATTGGCTTGAAAATGAAGGATATAATGTCGAAGAATATAAAGATGAACTTGCAAATACTATCGGATGCACTTTAATTGTAATGTTTCTACGAGCAAGTAAAAGTCTTAAATGTCTCGAACTTAGGTGTACTATTTACAAAACATTAGCAGATGCACTTTGCAAGAACACCACGTTGA